TTCAGATAATGGAAAAACCTTCGTTGGTGCAGCAACCCTGCTTTCCAGTGACTTCCTTGACGCGTTTAAGGACTCGGTGACTGATGCGTATAGCCATCAGCGGGTTTCGTGGCGCTTCATCCCACCAGGAGCTCCACATATGGGAGGCCTATGGGAAGCCGGAGTGAAGAGTTTCAAAACTCTCTTCTACAAGGCCACGTCCACTCGGAGGTATACGTTTGAAGAGCTTTCTACGCTGCTCGCGAAGATTGAAGCGTGCCTCAATTCCAGGCCGCTCTCACCGATGTCCGATGATCCGACGGATCTGCTAGCCCTCACTCCCGGGCACTTCCTTATTGGGGGGCCCTTAATGAGTACGGCCGAGCCCGAAATAAAGGGGAACCTTAATTCGATCATCAATCGGTGGCAGCATTTGAAGGCCCTCAACCAACAGTTCTGTCAAAGGTGGAAGGAGGAATACCTCAAGGAGCTCCACAAACGGACTAAGTGGCAGACGCCGACGCCAAATCTGCAGGTTGGCGATATGGTAGTCATCAAGGAGGATAACCTGCCGTCCAACGAATGGCGGCTCGGAAGGATAACTTCCGTGTATCCCGGTGCCGACGACAGGGTCCGTGTGGTGGATATCCTTACTGCCCGCGGTACCCTCAAAAGACCGATTGTCAAGGTCGTTCTCCTGCCAGTAGAACCCCGTAGTTCCATCCAACAATAACGTGAATGTGCACTTGTCCCATTCACAGCTCCGTACTAATACTTCTTCGACTTCTCTATTCCATCCTAGTTCCATCCTCATCCAGACATGGCCCCACGGATCCGCGCCAGCCGCACCACGGAGAGCCGGCGTGATCGAGGGATCAACTCGTACCGTTGCCGGGTCTGCCGAGGAATTCATCCGCTACGGACCTGTCACCATTTCCTTCGCCTGAGCCCTGAGAAGAGACTCCGAGCTGTCCTCATTAACAAATATTGCGGGAACTGCCTGGCCCACCAACACTCCGGCCAGGATTGTCGCAGTGGCGGGCTGTGCCGGGTGTGTGGAAAAAACCACCACACTCTACTCCACATACCCTCGTCGCGTCGTCCAGTCCGCTCGGCCTCAGGAGCATCGTCGCCATCTACAGCGCCCCACGTCAAACGCCGACCTCGTCGTCCAGCCCGCTCAGCCTCGGCTGCATCGTCGCCATCCACCTCGGCCCACGCCGACCGCCGCCCGCGTCTCCCCGTGAGCCGCCCCGTGGCAGGGCCCCCGGCACCATCCGTCGACTCACTTCTACAACATCGAAGCCTCATCCTACTCCCGACGGCGCTGGTGGTCTTGGATACGGGTTCCAAAAACTTCGAGACGGCGGCGCTCATCGACCCATGCACGCCGGTGAGCTGTATTGACGACTCCTTGGCCAGCGCCTTCAAGTTGCCCACCACTTGTGTGGGGGACGAGAAAGTGTGTACGGCGGTGATCCGCGCCAAAATGGGCGACTTCCAGTTGGAGACGATGCTCAAGGTCGAGCCCCGTGTGCGCATCCGCACGCCTATCCGACAGCTGAGCGATTCCGTGCGGGCGCGTTTCGGTGACCTGAGGCTTGCCGATGAACAATTCCATCGACCGGCGACAATCTCGCTCATCTTGGGAGCAGATGTCTACCCGAAGGTGATCCAGCCCGGGTTCCTTGCGCGTGAGGACGGCCTGCCGGTGGCCCAGAGCACCGTTTTTGGATGGATCGTGTCGGGGGCGTGCACCCAGCCATAGGCCACCCCATTATACTTTGCAATCCTGCAAGGGGGGGGGAGGATGTTCAGGCCAGCAATGGACAGTTTCCGGGCACTGTGCCGGCTCCGCGCGCCTCGGTCCCGGCTCGCGCTCGCGCGCTCGGAGGGGCGCTCGGATCCACAATCCACGATCCACACGGCGCTCACGGCAGCACAAAGGCAGCATAAAACATAGAGCATAAGGCATAGAGAGTTAGTGACGTTTTCACCCCCGCTTCAACCTGTCGACATACCGCGCGAATACCGAATCAATACCTGAACAATATATATATACATATACACACAACGAAACCCATCGGCCTTTCCTTTCTGTGGCGACTGCTAGGAGGGTTACTGGAACATACACCTCGCCGTTGGATAATCGATCCTCGATCCGCCCCACTACAGACAGAGTCTTTGATCTAGTCGTACTCGTACTTCATGGTACATAGCTTAGCAATCTGGTGTATTTTATTTCCCAAATCCTCGGAGGCGGCACTGTTGCAAGACTGTCGAGACTGTTGCGACGCTGTCGAGGACTCCTTCTACAGGCTTCAGGGCATTCACAGAGGATGTGTTAAATATTTTTGCTCCATTTCACAGAATTTACAGGAGTGTGTCTTCTACACTACCCCTTCTCACGCACTTTCCCTCGTGCGGTATAGTTTCACTCTGGCGGAGGGGTGCGAGACGTAACGGCTGGTGTTGGTTTGAAAAGAGAGACAGAGGCAGAAGTAGCAGAATCGAAAGCAGTATCAGGAAAAATGGAAACAGATATAATTTTTTTAAATTCTGATCAAATGGGTTATAAGGTGGAAAGGTGAAAAACGGAAAATCCTCTAGAGGTAGTGGTTCCTCTCTTTCTCTTCGTGTTTTTCCCATTCTCAGGACAAGTTCGAGAAAAATTGTGACAAAATACAGACAAAGAGAGAGTGAGAGAGAAAGCATCTGGCAGTCATCCTCCGATACCAATTAGGGTGCTTACATAAACCGTAATAGTTTCTGGTATTATCTGGCTAACTATAAGTACAGCAGCATGCCCTTGCCTCTGAATAAAAATTCTACTTTAATCAAAGCAACCCGTTCTTATTGTTCAATTCTACAGCTGGGAAAATGAAATTGATTCGAGTGCAAGTCGCCGAACTATGGCGGATTCTGGTTCTGTCTTTTGCGGGCTGGCTGGCGGTACTCGAGCTGGTAATATTTTTCCGAAGTTCTACCTTTTACAAACTCCACGAGTTTGTCTTCAAGCCATACAAGGAGTCGATAAGCAGCTATGACGTTGGATTGCGGGCCCAGCAGTGGGACGACAAACAAATAGCCAAGCTACTTTACGAGAGTGTGCGTGTGCATTGCCTGCTTTATCTGGAGGACTTGGGCAACGGATTCGATGCAATGAAGGCAGAGCACATCCGGAAGACTTGGGGCTGTCGCTGCAATGAATTGAGTGTATTCGATTCGAGGGAGATCAGTCTGACGGAGGCGTATCTGTGGATCTATCGCAACAACCACCATAAGTTGGACTGGCTGTTGAGCGTCTCTATGGGAACCTATGTGATTGTGGAGAATCTCCGCCATATGCTGGCCCCCTATTCACCCTCTCAGGCGATCTACTTCAGTGCCCAGCACGGCTTCTATTCCTACGCCCATGTAGGCAAAGGAGCAACCACCGACCACATTTTCAGTCGTGGAGCACTGGAGCACCTGACGGCGGAGAACTGCCTGCATGATGGCTCCAGCTTGCGGGCTTGCTTGGCTCGAATGGATCGAGGACCAAGCGACAAGCTTTTACCGTTTCATGTGCAGGAAGAGGTTCTGCCCTTCCATCTGCGCACCAAGTTCTGGCTGTGGCCTTGCACCTATCGATCGGTCTACGAAAATCAAGTAAGTCTTGGGGGCATGTGTGTGTCTGCTATGATCAGAAATCCATTGTCTTTCGCAGAGTCGTGAGAGCTGCTTTGGTCGTGGAATCCTTTATCCATACGTCAATTCAAATCAATTGCATGTCCTGGACTTTCTGCTGTACCACCTACGACCCTACGGATACGTCAATCCACTGCCAGAGCTGAGGTCTGTACATTTCCCCAATCACATAGAGGCCAAAGCGATCAATGATACACTGGCCAGACGGCTCAGCCAATCCGTACGGGTTCTCTGTCTAGTCCTTACCTGGCCCACAAACCACCTGAGTGGTGCGAAAACCATAAGCGAAACCTGGGGGCGCCATTGCAACAGGGTGGTCTTCTACAGCAGCTCCCCTCACGTGGGGTCACCTGGAGTTGGAGTGGACATTGTTGGCCTGAATATCAGCGATAGCTACGATTTTCTCTGGGGAAAGACAAAGGCGGCCTTCAGGCATGCCTATAGGCATTACCGCCATGAGGCGGACTGGTTCTTTAAGGCCGATGACGATACCTATGCCATAATCGAGAATATGCGATACATGCTTTCCAGCTATTCCCCAGATACTCCGATTCACTTTGGCTGCAACTTTCAGTTGGGGAAAGTTACTTATATGTCCGGTGGAGCTGGCTATGTGCTCAGCAGGAAGGCCCTTCAGATGTTCATCACCCGAGGTATCGGCAAATCGATGTGCAGGGCGGAAGGCGAAGGCACTGAGGACTATCAAATGGGTATCTGCATGAATACGTTAAATGTCACGGACGGTGACTCTAGGGACCACTATAATCGACATAGATTCTTTCCCATCGGCCTAGAGTACTTTCTCATACCAGGACGTGCCGACTTTATCGATTGGTTGAAAAAGTTTCAGATTCATACATTCCAAAAGGTCTGTAGAGAGTACTTCCTTGCATGTGTTTTGATACATGGTTTATTTCCACTTTCAGGGAATCAATTGCTGTTCAACCTATTCGATAACAATGCACAAAGTATCGCCCTATGAAATGCACTTTCTAGAAGCAATTTTATATAGTGCCCGTCCCTATGGCATCATAATGGGGCATCCCAGAACGAAGTGTGGAAATCGCTCTGCCGTAGTCGTCCGAAGGGGCCAACAATAATCAATTTGTCACATTCAGGATGTATGTCATAAATAAATAAGTAAACTATTCACGTGTAAGGGAAAGTGCATGATTGCGACATGATTTATTAACAATTGGATGACTTACGACTAGTTCAGAATATAGTTTAGGATTTAGATTTAACATATGATCCCGTTTATTTTATTTTTCAAATTCTGCGTTGGTTTTTTCTCTTTGGCATGGTTTCCGGCAGTCGCGTTAAGAAAATGGTTAGCCCTCAGTTTCGACTTTAGGTTTGGGTGTTATTTTAGTTTTGGTTTTAGGATTCGGCTTGTGTAGTGTTTTGGGTGTAGTTTTGTTTGATGTTTTGTGTGTAGTTTTGTGTGCAGTTTTGTGTGTAGTTTTGTGTGTGGTTTTGTGTGATATTTTTTGTGCAGTTTTGGGTGTAGTTTTGGGTGTAGTTTTGGGTGTAGTGTTGGTTGTAGTTTTGGGCTTAGGTCTGTGTATAGTTTTGGATTTAGATTTTGGATCGTGCTTAGCTTTCAATGTTGGTATGGCTTTTGTCTTAACGTTTGGCTTTAGTTTTTGCTTATTTTTGTGGTCCCCAATTGCTGGCGTCAGCTTTTCTGGCTTGGAAGTTCGCCACTTTTGCAAGGACTCCATAACCTCCTGGAATGGCTGCTTCATTGGCAGCTGCTCCTGAGGCCTGCTTACGCCGAAGGCTCTTAACTTGTAGATGACATAGTCGAGCACGTAGAAGTCCTTGGCATTGCTGTAGTGGAAGGAGATGGCCGAGTTCGAGCAGCAATCGTTTGTGCTCTGCTAGGAAGTATTTTAAAAAGTTGATCACGATATCAGATACCATTCTAGAACCCTTCTTACATTTGACGAGGTGTAGAAGCGGTAGGGTCTGTACCAGTTCGGCGAGTCCGAGAACCAGTGCAGCGGCGAGAAGGGCATAAAGCGGGCCAGGCCATGCTCATCACGGGAGTCCCCTGCCGCAACGCCCACTGCCTGCATGCAGCGTCCGAGCTCCACATCCTCGAAGCCGATGCTGCGATTGCTGCAGATACTGCTGTTGCTAAAGCCGTGTTCCATAAACCGAAGCAGGGCCTCCTTGCTGAGCACATAGCCAGCTCCTCCCGACATATAGCCCTGCAGGAGAGGTCCATTATATCATTATAACTTCGATGTGGTGGGGCGACCATCGATCGAGCCATTACCTGCTTCACATGCACCCTAAACTTGCTGCCAAAGTAAACAGGCGCCTTTGGCGTGAACGCGTACAGAAAGGAGCGCAGGTTCTCCATCACCACATAACTGGAATTCCAAAATAGTGGTTAAAACAATTGGAGAGAATGGCTGAAATGTGCATGGCCCAATATTTCGCCCAATATGCACATAATCTGGTATCTATTATACTAAATAACAACACCACGTTTTCGCTGTGAATCAAATCGACTTTTATGCCTTTCTTATGACTTTTCTCGAGTTTGGAAAAATACCGCACAAAAATGATCAATTTGTAATTTGAAAGCTCAATATTTTTCAGACGGTGAGCTTAAGCCACAAAGTGTTTGAATCTGAATAATAGCTGAATTTATCCCCTTTTAAGAATTGCAAAGTTCAATACAACCAGATAAAAGGTACTTAAATTTTGTGAATAAAAGAAGCACTACCTCTGATAGTAAAAATTAAAAAAAAAAACTTAGAAAAAAAAAAACTTTTTAGACAATTTTAAAGCCCCAAATCTATCAAATAAGTCGGTTTGGTTCACAGCGGAAAACAAGTTCCATTTTGTTGCATAGTGTAATTGATGTTCAATCACTATTCTGAATAACCCTGAGGATATATTGATGATCTTTATTCCTGGCAGCTGCAAGGGCAATTCTCTGAACTGTATTTGTGTTAACAGCACTCACGTGTCATCGTCCGCCTTGAGGAACCAATCGTAGTTCTGAAAATGCGTGTACACATACTGCAGACCAGCTCGCGTTTTCCCCCAGAGGTTGCTATATCCTTCCTTCACCTTGAGCGCCACCGTGCCCAGCTCCTTGTCCGACTTGGTGCTCACGAAGATCAACTCGTTGCAGCGCGAGCCCCAGGTGCGCTTGATGTGAATTGCCCGGGTCCGGTGGGTCTTCGGACTGGTCAGCACCATGCACAGCACGCGGGTCTCCTTGAAGAGCCGCTCAGCCAGATCTCCCCTGTCTGTGGTCAGGTTGTTGGGCATGGTTGTCAGTTGGTACGATGGATCCGAAGTGCTCCACATGTAGCTGCTTGGCGGGTAATTGCTGCTTTGGTATGGCTGGTCTTCTTCGTCGAACTGCCAGCGAGCCCGCTGCAAGAGCTCGGACAATAGGATCCCCCAAGCCAGGCCGATCAGTAGCATCAAGAGCAGCTCCATGCGCTTCCGATGATGCCTAAATATGCTCATCTTCTATGGGGTTCGTGTTCGGTATTGGGTTTGCTTTTATTTTCCTCAGCTTGTTGTTGTTTTTTAAAATTTTTGTAGGTATGGTTTTTTATTTTATATTTTTTATAGGCGGCTTTTGTTTACTTTTTTATGCAAATCTAAAAAAATGTTGTCGCTGCCGTTGTGCGAGTATGTACATACATACATACATACATATGTATGTATGTATAAGCTCTGGGTGCTGTGCTGCCGTCGCCTGTTGTTGTTGTTGTTGTCACTGAAACACCGAATTAACACATTCTGGAGGCACTGACGCAGAGACGAAAGCTTGTAAAGATGCGGTTGACCTTCGGGACGCACAAACATGCATAAAGTTGTTGGAGTATGCATGTATGGAACGGTGGTTGTACTTATACTCGTATCTCTTCTGTACACGGGTACATTTACTCGCAAGATGTTTAAATTCGATTCGATTTGCAATTGCCTGGGCCGTGCCTCGCCTCGCCCCGCCTCGGTGACGCTTCTGCGACCCGTTGCAATCGGATTTGGATTTGGCCCGTCTCAAATTGCTGCCTTCTACTGCTGTCCCTGCTTTGGGCTCTGGGCGATGGGCTCGTGTGTGTGTGTGTGTGTGAGTGTGGGTGAGCAATTATGCGACTCTTCTCTCGGCCGCTTTCTTTCCACTTTATGCTCTCCGGTACGGCACTCGCACAGAATTTCAAACACGAAGACACTCACTGCGAAAAGGCCATTAAAGCGGCCCGAACGCGACTTCAGACTCCGAATAAAAAAATACAGAAATAACAAAGAAACAACAAAATAACCGAAACGTCTTCGCGCTTTGCCGGCTGTTGACAGACTTGGCTTGAACGGGCCCCGCGGATACGTTTGGTAAGAAATAACTTAACGCCTTTTTGGATGCCAGATGTTGCCAGACCATTCAAACAGTTATCCCCTGGAGGGGAGTGCGTGTCATGATTCCAACTCGTGTCACGATCTGCTCAACCAATACGGCCGAGGCTTAGAAATAATTATAGGTACTCCACATATGTATATGGTACTCTTGCATTTCGTCTATGAAACCAATGGTAAACACGAGTCTCTAAGAGCTTTCCATCACAAGGCGTGATGCTTTGACCTTTCAGTTTCTTTCGACGAGTGGTAATACATCTTTAAGGCATCTTCGCTACTTAAAAGGCAGTTCCATATGTTTGTTGCACAATTAACCTTTTGAACACGCCACCACACAGACTTTGGCTTCTTTGAAAACGTTGAAATGCCAGCGAGGAAGCTTCATACTGACCAAAAGTTATGATTTCTTAGGGCCACGAAATGTTGGTGTTGAGAAATCAAACCAGTGTTGGTTAATCATATTTAATGGAATATCTACAGAACTAGATGTATTAGATGGAACACAATGAAGCAGTATACAAGCACCGCATAGCAGAGCAGCAGAACTCAGGCGTAGGGACCACCAGAAGCGTCCAGGCCACGAGGGGCATTGGCATAGCTATCGTGGGAGAACGCACCAGATCCAGATCCAGATCCCTCAGATCCCTCAGATTCCACAGAGGAAGCTCCCGACGACCGCGTGTTGTCTTCTGTTTGCAGCTTGGAGCGCTCATCCAAGGCAATGGCCGGTACCACTGAAGGGGCCACCGCAACAGCCACGGTCTTGAGGGCATATGGCACTCGATTCACGACTGCGTTGAAGCCATGGACATCATCGGCCGTGTAGGTGACGGTGCGCTTGTAGCCATCGGGATCGATCAGGCTGTAGAATCCGCGCACCACATAGCCGTCGCGGCTCTCGCTGTGCTCCTTGATGTCGCCGGTGCTCTCGTCATTAACGGCGTAGTTGAAGCTGTAGCTGGCGGGCGGGAAAATCTCCGGCTCCTGGTGTTGTCGCAGGACGGGCAGTGGCGAAGGCAATAGGGCTGCCGATGCAGATGCGGCATTGGCGGCACTTTGCAGCAGATTCGAGGCATGCACACTGGCCGAACTGCTTCCGCCGGCTGCAAATTGGTTTGTCCGAGGCGACACATAGTCGTAACCGTCCGGAGTGGCCTGGGAGTTCAGCGCATTGTTGCTGGGCGTGTGGTAGTCGCTGAGGAAGTCCTCCCCAGAGCTGGGGGAGCTCTGCTCCAGGGTGTTCACGGCAGTGGCTGCCTTCTCGTTATAGTTGTACTCCGCTTGGGCAACAACGGCCAGCGACAGCAGGACGAATAACTGCAAATGCAAATGGTATTGTGTCAGTTGGTAGCCTATGCAAAGCCCATGTCCCGACTCACCTTTGCTGCCATCTCGATTGCTTAGATTTTCCTTCCGTTGGTCTGCGTCTGGTCTGCGTCTGCCTCCACAAATTGTCAGCTAACTGTTGTCATAATTGAGGCGACTCGGAGTTTTTATACCTCATCCCCTGAGACTAGTGTATTACCCAATGAGCGAAGTTATACAATGTCATGCGCTTCAATTGATCGATTTCCCATTGTCCACAGCGATGCGATCAACAAGTATATGTAACACTTTCATTTTTTTCATTTTGTGCCCGTTTTTCTGCTGCGTAAGTCTCGACCAAATTGAATTTGGCTTGACAGATAACATACATACATAGATGAGCAGAACTTGAGCAGAACCTGAACCTCTCTGCCAAGCGTCAGCGCGCAATGGACGGAGGCGCCTCGCTGGCCCGATCGTTGCCCCATGGCTCCAACTTGAGTCCCACTGTCATGTTTTTTCCGCGTATATTTTTTCTACTTAGTATTTTGAAATATATATGCTCGATGTGTATTTTTGAAGTGCAACCACGACCTGCGGATGACTTTGACCTCTTTTTTTCGTCCATGGTACATTCAAAATAAAGAACAGATCTGCAGAAAGAACAAATCTGATATGAATTTTTCTATGCGGAAGCGATTAGATTTTTATGAGAATGTGCTTAGATGCACGACCATCTCTACCTCTACTCTCCCACCAAATTGGAGAGTTGATTGTTTTGATAAGAAGACGATCAAAACCGGTTGCCGACTGCTGCTGTGCTGCCTTTGCTGATAGACTTGGCTAAAATCAGCAGCGAAGACAATCGGGAACCAGACGCGGCACAGAACACACCTCACACGCAGAATGACAGCCAAAATCAAGCTGCGGTCGCAGCTGCATCTCATGACTGGCTTCATGGCGGGATTTATCTTCGCCTTCGTGCTGCTCCTGTACGTCTACGATGTGAACCGTGCGTCACCGTGGTGCACCAGCTCCTCCACATTGCCGACGGCCACAACAGCACCCCTGGCAAGGTTTGAGGAGGCGCCGGCCGCAAGGATTCTCTGCATGGTGCTCACCTGTCCAGAGAATGTGCAGAGTTTGGCGCGACATGTCCATGCCACTTGGGGCAAGCGATGCAGCCGCCTGGTGTTTGTCAGCAGTGAGAGCTACGAGCCGCTAGGAGTCGTCCAGGTTGTGGATCCCAGCGGTGGCGGCTATGAGGATCTGTGGAACAAGACCCGCGAGGGTTTCCGCCATATCTGGCAGGAGTACGGACAGGACTTCGATTGGTATCTGAAGGCAGACGATGATACGTGAGTGGAATGAGAATTACTGTGCCTGAGCCTCCTTAGTTTCTCCACCTCCCCTCCCTCCATAGTTATGTCATCATGGAGAACATGCAGTACCTGCTCTCCGCCTATGACCCGACAACGCCTGTGTATTTGGGCTACAAGATGACCCGCTATAATGTGGTAAGTGATCGACATTAGCTTCATCATCGATTAACTCTCCATCTTCCATGCTAGTCACCCGTTTCTTCACGCGACTCGCAAAAATCTGAATTGCAAATTTTTGAAATTAAGATTTGCTTCTCAGTTTTTGGTTTTCGGGACTAATTGAATTATGTCTTCGGAAATATGTGGGCATGCTTCAGGCGAAAACAGTTTGTATATGTCACATTAAAGTGTCGCCAAACGCTTGTATTGATACTCTAGCTGGAGACCATCGGACTTCTCGTCTAAGCTGCCTTTAAAGATTATCTTTAGAACTGATTTAATTGTGGCGCGAATAAGCTGAACCTTCTCTAGGGTGTTCCAGCGTCGTTTCGGATTTTCTGTTCTGTCGGAACTTTCTTATAGCCGTATACTTCAGAGATGTTTTGGGATAGCGAAATGTGCTAATCGCTTAAAGTTCAATGCCAGAAAAACCGGTCCGCTTTGGTGTGTGTAATTCCTCAATAATTAATATCGATTTATTTTGCATTGTTCGATCTATGGATCTATTATTGGGCAAATGACACAATCCCACAAGGTTGATTCGGCTGCTGCAAATCATTTAAGATCTGGCTGCTTGTCTTGCGTTTTCCGTATTCATATTTCAGTCGGACACATTGAAAATAAGAAATTAAATTCGCATTAGGAGCCCCAACAGGCTGCAACCGGCGCCGCCTGGTGCCACTCCAAGTGCGGTCATCGGGCCGCCTGTCAAGCATCGCATCTTTCGCAGCCCCGCCTCATTGTCTTGGGTCCATCTGAAGATCTTGGCAGTAGCCAAAGACTTGCCTTGCCTTTTGACATTTTCAAGCGTTGTGCAAGCATTTGACTGGTCAGACAAAGTGCAAACATTATGACCGCATATAGCATATGGATGTATGGTTGTATGGTTGTATGGTTGTATGGCTGTACGGTAGAGGGTTCACAGCTGTTAGCCTCCATGCAAGCCCCAATACGAGTATCATAATTGAGGCATTAAAATACTGGTATTCCCTTTGTTTTTTCCGTTTCTGTTTCTCGCACATTTATCACATGATTATTTCCCAAAATGCAGCATAGGCGCTCTAATGATTCTTGATTGATTATTATAATCATTTGCTTGACTTCTTTGTTTTGTCTTATAAATCTTTTGTTTTAGAATTTGTGGGATCTCTGGCGCTTATGTCAATTAGCATATTTTAATAAATCTTTAATGAATCTTTTATACATAAAAATATTGGGTTTATTATGATCTGATCGGCTTTTAGTTAGCTTACTCCGAACTGCAAAGTTACCCAGAGGGTTAAAGTGCCTTCCTCTATTCGAAAATCTCTCAATCGGCTAGCTGTGTCGTATTTGATGCCCTCCCCATATGTCCAAAGCTCACATCATTAGGGCTCATTGATTCGTCCGTCATGTTTTCTCCAACCCATCCAAAATGTAATTCATCATCATTGCAGCTTAATTAACTGACCTGATCTGAGCAAAGGTGACAATTGATTAAATTCAATACATCATTTCCATTAATTTGTAAGCCCTGCTTGTTCACATTTGAATTTGATTCGAATTTTGACACTTCAGACCCGCGGAGCGACCTCCAGTGGAGGATTAGCAGCGTAATGCTTGATGTAGTGGCTATGCCTAAAGCCTAACACCGTTACTAACCGCGGGCGGCACTTTTTTGTTGGGTCTTTGATGTATGTAAATATTCATGTCTGAAGGTTGTAGGTTTCTGGTGGGATGGTACAGGTGATCGTTCGCTAAATAAATGCGGTGCGTGTGGAATATTAATTATGGAATTTTAATTATGGAATGTAACATGTGAAGGTGGAACATCATCCACGGCTCCGCTAATGTCTCCGCTTGTCTTTCCCAATCAGAGCTACATGTCTGGCGGCGCCTCCTATGTCCTGAGCCGCGAGACCCTGCATCGTTTCATGACCCAAGCTTATGAATCTGAAGTGGTTTGTCCGCAGCCCAAGAGAATGGGCATTGAGGACTTCTACATGGGCATCTGTCTGCAGAATGTGGGCGTTCATTTGGTGGACTCTGCACAGGCGCTGGGAGGGGACGACGCAAAGCACAAATTCATGCCATTGGATCTGGAGAGCTATATGTCCGACTCTAACGCTACAACCCCGGACTGGTTGCGGCTGATGAGTGTGTCCGAGGTCGAAACTGTGAGTCTGATCATCCCCTTGCTGCCATCAAATTTCAATCACTGTTTCAAATCATCGTTCCGGTTAGGGCTTCAATTGCTGCTCCAATTATTCGGTGGCCTTTCATTATGCCAGCCCCGAACGGATGTACCTCTATGAGTTTTTGCTTTATCATCTACGAGTTTTTGGACGCCGCGAACCCTCAGAGCATCACACCAGACACCACTTGACCGCAACGGATTTGATGAGGAGATTTCCACTGGAGGACAATTCGTTCATAAAAGATTTACAAAAAATGTCAGAGAAGCCAGATAATTTCTAAATTCTACATATAAGACTCCCGCCTTCTTCATGTGATTCTAATATTAATAAATTAGGCATAAGAAACTTTAGCTGTATTAAGGTTTACGCGTGTCCTTAGCAATAACCGATATTTAGCTTGGTTAGCTTGATTCTGGCCTACGTATCTTTGTATATTACATTCAGGATCATTACAATTCAGACAAACTGCTGGAAATCGAAGAAAAACTAGAAGGGAAACTCCTAAAACAATTATACCCAGTACATACTATGTACTCTCCCCAGTTAGCCTTGCCATTGCCGGAGCAAACAGCATTCTGTAGTTCACTTGCCCAGCAGAGACTTAACAGACCATCCAGCGGATCGCTGAGATCTATGTTAGATGCATGTTAACATTCATAATTAAAATACCAGCGCAAAAGTATGCAACACAAATGTGTGCAGTTGCTGAGGCTAAAATAAAATATATAATATACCTAATAATAATAATAATAAATAATAATATAGATTTAGAAAAAATCCATCGAGAACAGTTATTCTGGGGAAATCAGGACTAAGAATAATTTCAATTACGATTACAAGGAACTTCCCTCGTTCCCTCAAATTCCCTCATATTCCGGATTCAACTTTCAAACAATGATCTTATTCAAATTCAAGTTTCGTTTATCTCTGAAGAATTACAATTATTGGCAGCAACTTCTGAAACATCAAGATTTCAATTTTTAAAGCTGTTGCTCTCATATGCAGAATTCAGGTTATATTCATAGCCACGGCATTGAAGATAGCGTTTGTTGCAGGTATTGGCAACCAGTATTTACAGTAATAGGACTAGTTAAAAGTAAACCTCATTCCCACGCACTCATTGCTGGCGATCTTCTCTTCTTCCAATCACGCGTCTACACTAAATGTCACTTTCCGCATTTGAACTTAAGTAAATACCATATAACATATTTACGAGTATGGCATAATACACTCTCGTGAGGTTCGACGAATTTAGTTAATTTGAAGCCATTGCACAAATAGAAAAAAACGCGAGGTGTTGTAAAGTAATTTAGTTCAGAAACAAGAATAAAGAGTTTGCAAATTATTTTGATTTGAACTTTTCATTTTTTTCCAAAGTTTAAATTCGGTCTATATGTATTTATTTCAGTAAGCTCCAAGAAAGCGTACTGCTTTCTAGCTTGGCTAGAAAATCTCTTTACATGTTTTTGTTGGATTATTTTTTGTAATATTCCGCAAATGGTATAAAGTAGACGCCTGCCTGTAATATATATATATGTATTATAAAATTTATTACAGTGACCTTGCAATTTTTGCAAGTATTTAATTAACGCTTTGCGCGATGCTACCACGAAACCAAGTGGCAACAAAGCAGGGGGAATGGCAGCAAGCTACTGGCTGAAAGCCGATGAATCATTCTGGGAAATCCTTCACTTGAGGCATTCTTGCATGAAGGGCCTGCCCGACAGAGCTAGTGGACTGGACTGAATTGTTTTCATTACCAAAGTCAATGCCTGTGTCTCACCTTACTTGAATGCTGTTTTAGCTTGCAGTTTGTGCTGTGGTGTGCTGTGCTGTTGCCAGGCCGCAGTTAATTAAATCCAAAATCACGTACGCATGCGCAGTGTGTGCCAGTTGGCATTTCGTCTCTCATGGAGCCCGCGGCTGGTGTATGCCTTTGGAGATTGAGATGTTTTCAGAAGCCGGCTGGATACGAGTGTACAAAACTTATTATGATAAAATTGCATTGGAAAGATCTTAGATTGAGAGTCGATTGGATTTATTTACAAAAGAGCCCTCATTGAAGAGGCCATTAACATCAGTTGTAAGTGAAAGGGAGCTACAGCATTACCTTTTTTGTTTGTTTTTCGCACTAAGTAATACATTGTATTGTATCATTGCCCGGCTTAAAAATATAGTTAGGCATGAGCTCAGTGTGTTAATCGGTTAATACAAGCAATTGAACATAAAAGCACAGCTCATGTATTTATTGAGGAAGCGAACTCCCCGACACTTGTTCAAACAGGGCGCTTAGCTGTTTGTGGGAGTGGGCCACAAGTGCACCTTGGCATTGCACTTCGGGTTGGTTGTGGTTTTGGTTTTGGTTTTTGGGCTGGGAGCGTACATTTCGACCTCATTTGGGCTGAGAGATGGAATCATTCATTAAATACTTATGGCCTAAATGGTTATGGGAAACTTAGCTAAGCTTCTGCCCACACGCGTTCGGTGTATGATTTATGGCCATTTGTCTAGAATGAGAAAAACTACAAATAATTATATGGAATAAAATGCATCTACTCTTCTCGACAGAGAGAGAGAGAGAGAGAGCTCTTGGAAGAAAAGAACTGAGCGATGGCATTGAATTTACACGGAAATGTTACGGAATTCTCGACCATAGGAGTTGATTATTTTATTATTATTTTTTATTTAGAACAAACTTGAGCTTGAATGTTTTTAATCGTTTTCCATTCCACCAATTCTGCTGTCAAGTGCTACTTCAAACTTCTAAAGTTCACGTTGAAAATTGGACCCTTAGTTCGGTGTGTTTTTTAATTTACTCGGCACGATTCGATAGCATCGAATCAAAGAATCCAATTAGCTGAAATACCACTTTATTTATGAGCTTCCAACTCCACGCTGAAACTATTTGCTAACAAGCTAAGCCAACAGAGCTGCCAATTGGAGCTACCTGTAAGTTAGTTTAGTTTAGTTAAGCTTACTTATTTGCCCAATTCAAGCTCAATGTTTCTCCATTCCAAAACGGCCGTCACACCGTGCGTATGCGTAATGCATTTTAGCACCGACTGCGGGCTGCTGTCTTTTTCTGAGTTGTCTATTTCAATGGCGCGTGTTCCATTTTGTGGGCCGACACAAGCTCTACGAGTGGTTCGGTTCGGTTCGGTTCGGCTACGCAGTGGATGTTGTTGCTCTTGTTATTGTCACCTGTCGGATTATTATTATATTTTATTTTATTATACTTTGCTGCTGTTGCTATTTTTTCTTCGAATTGTGCGTTGCCGCCGTCGAGTAGCACTCCGCGACCTTCAATCGCTCGATCCAGATTTGCAAGCCATTACATTTGATATTATTTGATATTTTTTTCGAACTGAAATTGTATCGTAGCCCAAGCCATAAAAAATCAATTACTCAGCAATGCGTAGCCGTGCCTCACTCAAAAATTGTTTGTTGGATTCGTTTCTTTTTTTGTTGTTTTTCTGTTTGCCAGTTTTTGTAGCGAAAGTTGTTAGACAATTTAGTTTTCATTTTTTTTTTCCTGCTGCAGAGGAAGATAAATTAATTATTAATACGGCTCAAATATTTGCAGTTCATTTCAGATAAATTCAGAAATTATTTCTTATTTATACCCACTTGTACATTTATACCCTTCACTTTTTGCTGCCAAAGGAATGTGATATATTTTTTTTATTTATCTTCTACTTTTCGTGTTCTTTGTGCGTACAGATTGTTGTGGTGCTGCTGCTCGAGAGCTCGCTTCGAACACGTAATTGGTGTTCGCACCGAAAGTGTTTGGGGCTTGGTAGTGACAAGAAATATCCAAGAATCCAAGAGCACTTGATGTTTCGGGACTGAACTCAATTAAAGCTGGAATACGAAATTAGAATCTATTTTTGTCTATCAAGTGCCTGAAGACTACACAGGGAATATAGTAATATTTTCCATATAATTTCCCTGTATTCTCACTTAACAAATCTTTGGCCACATAAGCTCTGCCTTAAGGAGTCAGTAAGTCCATCATTTAGTCGGATACAAAGATTTATAGTACATTTATGGAGATTATCTCTGCAATATATTCCAAAGTATTCCATGCTAACTGCTATGAGCTCAACTGAGAATTCCATAAACAGCCCACAGCTGCAGATACTAATCGAGTTTACTTAGTCAACTGCGAAATGTTCGAGTAGAAGGCCCCTGAAAATATGTATTTACAAGTTGCCTCAATGCACGCACAGATAAATCAAGAATCTAGAATCAAGAATCGACGACAATCGGCCGCATATAAAAATTAATTAATTTAATTACTTATCTAACTGAATTGCTTTGCAGTGCTGAGTGCTGATTGCTGACTGCTGAGTGCTGAGCGATAAACTTCAACTTATGTGTGCTTTCAATAATGTTTTTTACTTTAACTTTTTTCTAATGACAATTGAGCATGAAATGCTAACAGTCGAAATAGTTTTTTTGTTCTCTTCTGCCATTTTGTAATTCATTCGAAGTGCACTTCAAAGTGGGGAATATTTCTTCTTTTTGTTGTTTTTTGTTTCTGTTTGGATGCGTGTTAAACTTTTGCTGCTAACGTTCTGCCAGATTGATAAATATTTATAGATGCGCCCGATCTGTTGCTGGCTGACTGCACTTGTTAGCCCGGCTGGGATCGAAGATAAATAAGAATTTTAATTGATTTTAATGTGCACAGCTGCACTGTGGAGAGGCAGCAGCACATGACGACAGCTGACTACTGACTGCTGACTGACACCCGAGCAGAGATCGAAGAGGCTGGCACGGAGGCCAGAAGGAGCAGCGACACAAAACACAAAGTAAGCTGTTGACATACTCAGAAGAAAATTGACATAACATATTGTCTCCGTACAATGGCTAAGTATTCCACAGATTAATCATTGGATGATTGTGTGGTTGGGCCACTTGACCTTTGGTCGTTGACATGGCACGTGCAATGGTTACTAAAATCAATAAATTATATAATTTACCTCTTCTTAATGCTCTTTTGAAAAAAGATTTTACATTTAAAAACACGTATTCCCAGTGGAAACTTTTCTACTCAGCTTGACTAGGAAGATTGATTTATTATTTAAATTTAAAATTCGGAAAATACATATAATAATACAGATCTGCTAAAACTTGGTTCTCTCATCTCGGAAGTACAATACTCACTTGTCTAGACCCAAATTAAGACTCTATAAAACGCAGTTCGGTTCCACTTCATAAAGAACAAATACTCATAAAATTTGATGCTACTCCAATTAGTATGCAAATTTCGTGTAATCAAACAGAGTTAAGTAATACTCGCTGCTGCCTCAAGACGATGTTGTCTAGGCATAAATTCTCAAGAACA